GAAAGGCGTGGAAGGGGCCGGGCAGGCTGCAGTCGCTCCGAGGAGCCTCGGGCAGCGCCGCGCCCAGGCTGGGGGCTTCCTGCAGGGAGCTGGTCCGGCCCTTCTCCGGCTTCCCCGCCTCCTCCTCCTCCTCTTCCTCCTCCTCCAGGTCGCTGAACCGCAGGTCCTTGTCCTCCTTGTAGCTCTTCTGCTCTGCTTGGACACACAGGGGGAAGAAAGGGGCGGCAGGGCGTTAGTGCGGGTGCGGGGAAATTGGGGGGCCTCGAAATCGGCCGTCACTTCGAGCCTACTTGGAGGCGCCCGCCTGCCTCTCCCGCCTACCTCTGCCTTCACCCTCCGCACTGTATTCATCCTCTTCCCTCGGGGTTTCTTCTTTCCTCTCTTCCCCCGCTTTGTTCTTAGGAGACCAGGTCATTTTGTTTTCTTTTTTAAGCCTCCGTCTGGCGTTAGCGAACCAAGTGGACACTTGCGTCAGGGTCATTTTAGTGATGATAGCCAGCATGATTTTCTCTCCTTTGGTGGGGTAGGGGTTTTTGCGGTGCTCGTACAGCCAGGTCTTGAGGGTACTCGTCGTCTCTCGCGTTGCATTTTTGCGTCTGGCTGAACCCCCGAAATCCACCGTCCCGTACCTGCTGGGAGATGTTTAGGGAGGGGGGGCCGGCGGGAGTCCGGCAAGAACCCCCCGGCCCGGCCCAACCCGGTGGGACCCCTGCCCAGCTGCCTTCCTGCCCCTGCCCTCCTGACATCGCCGCCCAACTTTGGTTTCCGCTGTCTGCCGTTCCCGGGCGCCTCGTTTCTTTTGTACAACGTTTGTCAGGTCGGAGCCCCCCCCGTCCCCCTCGTTTGATGTCGGCCGGCGCCTCGCAGGGGGATGCTAATGCTGCCGGGCGCTGATCAAAGGGGTTTTACCTGTCGTACTGGTACTGCCCCAAGGAATGATCGTAGGAGTAGTAGGTAGCGGGCTGCGCGATTCCCGAGTGCAACGTGCCGGCGCCGTCTTTGATTTCATACTGGGGGTTCTGCAAGGGAAGCGGCAGCGTTTGGCGTCGAGCAGGACGGGATCCCCGCCGCGGCCCCGGCTCCCCGCGGCCCACGAGTCCCTTCGCGCCCCGCACC